CCCCCTTTTTGCCTGTTCACTCTGTCACATCTGTATAGGTTGTAACCTGGGATCCATATTTCGTTGTCCAAGTGATCCTTTATGTGGGTCTCAGTGAAAGCCGCGAACATTGCCTTTGCCTCTGCAAGCAGTCCACGGATGAAAGGTATTTTGTTGTTTGTTGCTGGCTTTAGACCCTGTATATTTGCAAAGAAGAATGTCATCGGACTGGTGGTATTGTTGGTACTGGGGGGGGATTTTTTTCCGGCATTAGTGTCTGTATCTGTTGGTTTGGAGTGGAGGCCATCGACTGTGGTTCCACTCCAGGAATGACTGGATTTGGTGTACGATTTCTGCCATTTCCTGCCAGTTTTTTTTCCTTCCTGGCACTAAAAAACCTCTCCCTCTTGAGTGGCTGTGGCTACCCAGGTTTTCCCATGGCCTGGATGTTTTGTATCTTTTTGTCCCCTTTAGATGGTGTGCCTGGCAATTTAAGTTATAGCACAGTCTTTCCTGTACTGAAGAGGTACACATTTTAGGGTGAAAAAGCTTACAGGAAGAGAGTTTGCATGTTCCTGTTGTCATATGGGCACGGCATTTTCTAGGGTGGTCATTTGCACGTCCCGTCTGTTTTTCCAGATTTCCCATGTCTGCAGATACCAAGTGCATAGTATGTGCACAGGCTTGGTTTCCGTTTGCCTTGGGTTTCTGTGACTGTATTCCCTGTTGGTGCATGTTTACCTGTCTTATTCCTATCCTCCCTAGCACCAACAATGGAGCTCCCACCAGTTGTTTTTGGTAATATATCCTCACTATTTCTAGTGAAGTCCTCTTGTTTGCTATTTCCTGTTGTATTTCTAGTTTGCAATATTGGTTTTATCTTATCTTTGACTACACTTGTTTCCCCACTAAGGCTCCTGTCCCCTGTGAGGTCATTTATATGTATTCCTTCCTGCATATAATTCCCGATTACCTGGACAAAATCTCCAGCTTCACCATTACTGTCTCCCAGGACAGCACCTCCAGCTTCACCATTACTGTCTCCCAGGACAGCACCTCCAGCTTCACCATTACTGTCTCCCAGGACAGCACCTCCAGCTTCACCATTACTGTCTCCCAGGACAGCACCTCCAGCTTCACCATTACTGTCTCCCAGGACAGCACTTCCAGCTTCACCTCATTATCAGACCAAATTACAGTGTCGCTAATATTTATCTCCTGCAACTTATTTCTTATATAATTAGCTAATTTGACACCTACATAAATGGCTGTTAATTCTAACTGAGGTAAGGTACGTGATTTAATCGGAGACACTTTAGCCTTAGACATAACAAGAGAAATAACACTATTACATTGAAGGTAAGCAACTGCTCCATATGCCAATTTTGAAGCATCACAAAAAATGTGGAGTACATTTTTCCCATTTGGATTGGCCACCTGGCGTGGGAACTCCAACATTGGAATTTTTTCATAATCACCAATTAATTCATCCCACCTGTTAATGAATTCCTCAGGTAGAATTTCATCCCAAGCACATTTAAGTTTCCATGCTTCCTGTATTAATAATTTCCCTCTTATAGTAAAGGTGACACAAAACATTTGGAAAACTTCAGCAAGCAATATATATATATATATATATATATATATATATAATATATATATATATATATATATATATATATATATATATATATATATATATATAATGTCGTGCCGAATATGTAAAACTGATCAATTAGCAAGAACCCGCTTAAAATTAAGTCCTTCCTAAAATTTTCTCTTATACGTTTAAAGATATATTTTTTTCATTAATTTTAATGTAAAAATTTTTAACTTTGCTCTAAAAGAATCTTAGAAAACTTACCTAACCTTATTATAACAAGAACAATTTATTTTAGCCTAACCCAACTAAATATGTTTTAAATTTGTTTACAATAATTAATTTAATACTAAACAAACACAGTGAAATATATTTTTTTCGTTAGGTTCAGAACGATTTTGGCGAAATTATTGCATACACAAATTTTCACTTGTCCTATATGGCAAGATGAGCGTTGCTATTTAAGCCAAGATCGCAAGTTCTGCCTATTCGGCACGACATATATATACATATATATATATATATATATATATATATATATATATATATATATATATATATATATATATATATATATATATATATATATATATATATATATGTCGTGCCGAATAGGCAGAACTTGCGATCTTGGCTTAAATAGCAACGCTCATCTTGCCAAATAGGACAAGTGAAAATTTGTGTATGCAATAATTTGGCCAAAATCATTCTGAACCTAACGAAAAAAATATATTTCACTGTGTTTGTTTAGTATTAAAATATTGTAAACAAATCTAAAATATATTTAGTTAGGTTAGGGTAAAATACATTGTTCTTGTTATAATAAGGTTAGGTAAGTTTTCTAAGATTCTTTTGATGCAAAATTATAAATTTTTACATTATCATTAATGAAAAAAATGTATCTTTAAACGTATAAGAGAAAATTTTAGGAAGGACTTAATTTTAAATGAGTTCTTGCTAATTGACCAGTTTTACATATTCGGCACGACATATATATATATAATATATATATATATATATATATATATATATATATATATATATATTATATATATATATATATACATATATATATATATATACATATATATATATATACATATATATATATATACATATATATATATATACATATATACATATATATATATATACATATATATATATATATATATATATATATATATATATATACATATATATATATATATATAATACATATATATATATACATATATATATATGTCGTGCCGAATATGTAAAACTGGTCAATTAGCAAGAACTCATTTAAAAATAAGTCCTTTCTAAAATTTTCTCTTATACGTTTAAAGATATATTTTTTTCATTAATGTTGATGTAAAAATTTATAATTTTGCACCAAAAGGAACTTAGAAAACTTACCTAACCTTATTATAACAAGAACAATTTATTTTAGCCTAACCCAACTAAATATATTTTAGATTTGTTTACAATAATTTAATACTAAACAAACACAGTGAAATGTATTTTTTTCGTTAGGTTCAGAATGATTTTGGCGAAATTATTACATACACAAATTTTCACTTGAACTATATGGCAAGATGAGCGTTGCTATTTAAGCCAAGATCGCAAGTTCTGCCTATTCGGCACGACATATATATATATATATATATATATATATATATATATATATATATATATATATATATATATATATTATATATATATATATATATATATATATATACACACACACACACACACACACACACACACACACACACACACACACAGGGAAACCGGCGCCGGTTCTTTTGGAGATGGGAAGTACAATGCCTGCAATCTGGAGGAGGGGTGTTAATATTGCAGTTTTATAACTGTAGTGTAAGTGCGCTTCTGGCAAGACACTGATGGAGTGAATGATGAAAGTTTTTCTTTTTCGGGCCAACCTGCCTTGGTGGGAAGCGGCCGATGTGTTAATAAAGAGAATAAAATATATAATGCACACAAATAAATGAAACGCAGGGAGGGGAAATAGTTTAAAAACTTCAGAAGCATGGAGGTCAGTTACGTATGTGTGGTTTGAGATAGCAATAGTACTTGCATTCTGCAGCCAGGAGATCCAAGGATAAGACAGTGTTGGCACCAGGTGGACGCACTAGGGCACCCCTGGGTTCTCAGCATGTGTACTCGCCTAATTGTGGTTGCAGGGGTCGAGTAACATCTGACCCTGACCCCCCCTCTTCGCTGGTCGCTACCAGGTCCACACTACCTGCTCCAAGAGCTTTGTCGTACCTTTTCTTAAAGCTGTGTATGGATCCTGCCTTCACTACATCACACTCCAGACTATTCCACTTTTTGACAACTCTGTGACTAAAGAAATATTTCCTAACATCCTTGTGACTCGTCTGGGTCTTCAACTTCCAACTGTGACCCCTTGTTGTTGTGTCCTATCTCTGGAACATCCTGTCCTTGTCCACCTTGTCAAGTACTCTCAATATTTTATGTTATGCCCCCCCCCCTCCTGTCCTCCAGTGTCGTCAGGTCGATATCCCTTAACCTCCCCTCGTAGGACATGCCCCTTAGCTCCGGGACTAGTCGCGTTGCAAACCTCTGCACTTTCTCTAATTTCTTGACATGCTTGACTAGGTGTGGGTTCCAGACTGGTGCTGCATACTCAAATATGGGCCTAACATACACTGTGTACAGAGTCCTGAATGATTCCTTACTGAGGTGCTGGAAGGCTATTCTTAGGTTTGATAATCGTCCAAATGCTGCAGCAGTTATTCAGTTGATGTGCGCTTCAGGAGATGTGCTCAGTATAGTACTCACCCGAAGATCCCTTTCCTTGAGTGAGGTTTGTAGTCTTTGGCCCCCTAAACTTCTTTGCCCTTTCTCGATCTTTGTTGGAACTTATTCAGTCCGAGAAGTCCCAACGGGGAAAAACACACCGTTCGAGGGCCCTTAAACCCACCCAAAACACAAACACACTCTCCCGGATTGACGTAGGTGGATGGAAGGTACTACTTAATTTATAGATTTACCCTTCAGGGAAGAAGTAGGTAGTTTATACTGTTAGTACACTAATATTAGGATTATTGAGGCAACTGTAGATAATAATGTAGACCTAAGACCTTAACATAGGTAGTAATAGGCCGATAATGTAGGCAAACACTAGGTTAAGTTAGCTAGGGAGAACTGGCAGCCCAAGTTTGAACGATGAGGCGCGGGTCTCAAAGACACCAGATCTTTCTTCTATGGCTAGACACCATCTCGACAACACGTGCCGTGATCAGCAGACAGCGCCCCCCCACATGTCTTCACATATGAGACCTGGGGAAATCTGGTGGAGGCACCTCGATGTACCGTAGATGACCTCCTCCGTCAGGCCCATACAGTAAGACAAAACCTCCACTTTTTCTTAGGACAGGCCCCTGCCTTTCCACTAATCACACACTGTACCCGCCCTCACGAGCCCTATAACTATTCTTAAAACTGTGTGTGTAAGTTGTTTCCACCACTCGAGGACGGAGGGAAGGGGAGGCTTATTGTCTCGCCTTTTAACTTCCTATCAAATGACGTTAAATACCTTTGAGATATACTTTTCAAATGCTGTGTGGAGTATACTCCTGTATCACTGCTCATTTCATTCCACTTCTTAACCACAAAATTCCCCTTGGGAAACACTCGGACACAAAACATCCCCAGTGTTGTACGTGGTCACAAAAAATTCCTTAGAAGGCAACTGATCACATAATACCAATGGCTCAGACAACAACAATCACTAGGAAGATTGCCAAAAAAAAATCTGGATAGAGCACTCTGAGCATTCCGTACAGCTCGTGAAGCTTCGAGTAACAAGTAAGCTGGAGATGGCCATTCGTATATCACCCGATGCGTTAAAAGTAATTTAAAGGAATCAACTCTAATTTAGCACCAGGTTCTGACTACGTGCACTGAGGGATTTAAAGTAATTGAAGTATAGCGTAGCCGACAAGTGAGGTGGAGGGTAGGTACCATTGTAGGCGAGTATGGTGAGAGAGTCGACAGAGGTGAGACCTGGCAGGGTCAGCACCACCACCTGAGGGAACAGCCCACTCGATGCCCAGAACGTGTCCGGCCTCCTGTAGAAGACACATACACAACGTTACTTACAGGCAACATACAATTACTTCGCATCAAAACAATACCTTAAACACTAACATCATTAGTGCTCTCTCGATCATCCCCATAGCTCTATCCTCCACAGCTATCATGACTTTATCGTCCTCCTTTTTCAAAAATCCGAGGAACATATTTACCTAGAGTACATATAAGCTCTTTTGTCCACTTTTACTCTATAATGCTGGTAGAGGATTCTCAATCCATGGAAATGGAACTTGATTACCTACCATTCTTCAGAGTCCGTATGACCCTTACGGGTTTACCGCACTCATGAATACAAGGTTGAAGTACAAGGAATGGAGGAAAATATTTGCTTTGATGGGGGTGTATTAAACTCGAAAGGGTTTTAAGCGTGAGGTTATATAAGGATAGTTGCATCTCCTAAGATCAAGAGCCCTTCACCGACATCAAGGCGCCGATCTGGAAGGTCAGAGAGACTACATACCCGTCGAGCATGGCGGAGGGAGGGAAGGTCGGGTCCTGGCTGCTGGCGTACATCACCTTGGCGTCCACCATTTCTATGTTATCTATACTGTGGCCAGAGGAACACCCGCAGTACCTGGACAACAAACAAACACTGTATTCCTCTAATTATGTCTGCAGGGATTGAGTTCTAGCTCTTGGGCCCCTCTTTGCATGAAGATTTCTACCAGTGTGTTAGTCTGTGCAAAACACTGCAGTCTGTAAGATAGAATTTGCTCTGATACCAAATATTTGCGTTTTAAGCTAAAGGCAAATGTGGTCACTACTGATATACTAATGCTAGTTGTAGTCTATTGTAGTTGGCTAGTTGCAAATATGTATGGTACTTCATAATATAGATGCAGCTAGGTATGGAGTTTCCTAATATAACTGAAGCTAGGTATGGTCTTTCTTTGTGGATCATACCTAGGTAGCTACCCCTAGGTATGGCACCCTTGTTTATAGATGTGTGTGATGGTACTGTGGGTGGTGTACCTCGAGTGTCTGATGCGGTAGGAGAGACTGGTGGCTGTGTGGGCACGGGAGGAGCTCCTCAGGAGACGCCTGAAGCAGGAGACGCTGTGTCGGAGACGATCCTCAAGTTGTGGCGAGAAGAGTGGTGATCCCGGGGTGGGCGACTCTGGTGATTCCAGAAACCCCGAGTTGCTTTCCCCGCCACTGCTGCTGCTAAGGGAAGTACCTGTGGACATTACCCATAAAGGAAGGATATAGGAAAGCACTGGTTTGGTAATAGAGTTGTGGATGAGTGGAACAAACTCCCGAGTACCGTCATAGACGCTAAGACGTTGTGTAGTTTTAAAAATAGGTTGGATAAATACATGAGTGGGTGTGAGTTGGAAATGACTAGCTTGTGCTACTAGGTCGGATGCAGTGCTCCTCCATTGAGTGACGTGTCTGACCTCACTAGGTCAAGGCATTGGTTTAAGGCGGTGGGTGAATTGGACCTGCCTCGCATAGGCCAGTAGACCTGTTGCAGTGTTCCTTATGTTCTTATGTTTTTAAAGTGACCAACAGGATTCAGTTTGTTTCAAAAACCCACAGCTGCTATCCCAACCATTGATTATTCTGTTGATCGTGTAAATAACGTCCTTAACTGGACCATCACACTTGCAGACCCTTCAAGGGGCGTGTGACTGTATGCTTGGATCAAGCTTACCTCATACAGGGGCAGAATAACCCCCCAGAATATATTATAGTAAGCAGAGAAAGAGAAAGATTTTCTCTTGCAAACTAGAAATAAAACAAATAATGACTAGTGGGAAATGTAGCACAAAGTGGTTTAACGCTTTATTGATTATAATAATAACGTAGCACAGATATAATTTTTAAGTTACAAAACTGGTATACATGTTTGTGTGACTGTCTATAGTTGATATACCTGGAGTATACGTGGAGGGTGTTCCGGGGATCAACGCCCCCGCGGCCCGGTCCATGACCAGGCCTCGTGATGGATCAGGGCCTGATTAACCAGGCTGTTGCTGCTGGCCCCACGCAGACCGACGTACGAACCACAGCCTGGTTGGTCAGGTACTGCCTTAAGGTGCCTGACCAGCTTCCTCTTAAGACAGCCAGAGGTCTGTTGGTAATCCCCCTTAATGTATGCTGGGAGGCAGTTGAACAGTCTTGGACCCCTGACATTCAGTTGCCACTTTATTAGGTGCACCTCATTAATGCAAATATCTAATAAATCAGTCACGTGGCATCACCTCAATGCCTAAAAGCATGCAGACATGGTCAAGAGGTTCAGTTGTTGTTCGGACTAAACATCAAAATGGGGAAGAAATGTGCTCTGAGTGACTTTGACCGTGGGATGATTGTTAGTGCCAGACGGGGTAGTTAGTTACTCAAAATGCTGATCTGGAATTTTTACAGTCTCTAGAGTTTCCAGAGAATGGTGTGAAAAACACAAAACACCTGGTGAGCGGCAGTTCTGTGGACAAAAAATGCCTTGTTAATGAAAGAGTTACTGCCTACCAGTCCAAACTGGCTCCATCTGACAGGTGAACTCAACCATGTATCACAATAGTGGTATGCAGAAGAGGATATCTGAATGTACAACACGTCGGTCCTTGAGATGGATGGGCTAAAGCAGCAGCAGATCATATGGGGTTCTACTCGGTCAGCTAAGAACAGGAAACTGAGGCTACAGTGGGCACAGGCTCACCAAAACTGGACAGTTGAAGATTGGAAAAACATCGCCTGGTCTGACGAACTGCGATTTCTTCTGCAAAATGCAAATAATAGGGTCAGAATTTCGTGTAAATTTTTTGGAATGGGGTGGAGCGGGAGATTTGCAGCATGTATATACATCTTACAGATCTGCAGCAACTGCATGATACTACAGTAGTGTGCAGATTAATTGGGATAGGAGTACATTTTGTGATTATCTCATATTATTTCTTGGTTTCCGGCTTAATGTAGTTTGGGTTCTTTTCAAAAGAGTTTGCTACCTACTTCTGGCAACCATCCAGCTGTGATGTTAACCTGTGACTCTCATCAATGCTGCAATAGCTGTTGTTCAGTAAGACTATTCCTGCAAACATGCTCTGTGAGTGAATGTGGTTTCGCCACGGCATTGGTACACGATTTCTGCTGAAATTCATGATGGATGTTACACCTAGGAAGCGCAAAAGTATTGTAGCTCTTGGAAAACATATTGATTTGAGTATCAGACAGATCGCCAAAATCTGAGCCTAGCAAAGTCAACTGCTGGCCGGATTCTGAAGAGAACTGACGACACTGGTAATTGTGGAGTGCTGCTTCGAGGAAGATGTGTAAAAAAAAAAAAAAAAAAAAAAAAAAGCAAGACAACAAACCATGACAAGGTTATCACAAGAAATAGTGTAAAAAATCCTCCCCAAAATGGCAAAGATCTACAGAGATTTGGCTTCAGCTGGCGTAAATTTTGATTTTTCATCTGTTCGACGAAGGCTCCTTGAAGTTGGCAGGACTTCCAGAACACTGGTAAAGAAACAATTATTGGCTGTTGCTATGAAGAAACAATGGCTATGGTGGGCACTCGATCGTAAGGGGTGGAAGACAGATGAATGGAGAAAAGTTGTATTTTCAGATAAAGCTCATTTTGAAATACTACAGATTAGTGGTAGTGAAACGGGGGAAAGGTGAACCTCTTCGTAATGGACACATTCAACACTCGCCAAAACACTCACCTAAGATGATGTTTTGGGGTAGCTGTACTGCTAATGGACCTGGACGGCTTGTTATTGTTGAGATAACTATGAACAGTGACATACAAGGCAATCCTGGCATCCCATTGAGGATATAGACTTTCCTGATGGAGAAGGCATTTTCCAGCAGGATCCTGCTCCATGTCACTTTCAGAAAAATGTTGACATTCTTCGAAGAGTGTGGGGCTAAGCGTTCTAAATTGGCCTGAAAACTCTCCTGACCTCAACCCAAATGAGAATCTACAGGCAATAACCAAACGCAAGATCGCAAAACAGAACTGTTCAGCTGTGAAGCTAATTGTTGCTGTTATTGGGAACTGGTACCACGACAAAGAACTTACCAAAATATGTTCACCATTGGTCGATTCTATTCTAAAACATGTAGCAATGTTCATAAAAGCAAAGGGTAGTCATATCTCCTATTAAATAAATTATCTGCCATATCATTACCGTGTATTTTTCAAATGAGGATTAATTTTCCAAATGTCTTATTTCATAACTGTCCCAATTAATATGCAAACTACTGTATCATGTCATCAAAGACCAGGATCTCCAAGAAATGTTTCCAGCCACGGAGAATTCAGGCTGTTCTGAGGGCAAAGGGGGAGGGAGGGGCGGCCGTACCCATTACTAGAAGGGTGTACCTAATAGTGGCCAGTGAGTGTATATTGATTGACGAAGCATTTTAATTTGATGACGCATAATTGCGTTCTTCGAATGCACCCGTTGTTGAAGCTGTTGTGTGTCATCTATTTGTTCTTGCAGCTGTTGTATGCAGTTATGTCATGTGTTGGTCTACAGTTTTCGCTGCAGGGGATTACCGTTCTGCACTTTTCTCCAGCCCAGCATATAGTTACACACTATTAGAATGAAGCCTCGACTATCTTCGGTATTCATTTTTTTTTTTTGCGGTGTGCGTTGAGTTCTCATTAAAGTCACCTAGGTGATTGTAGTTTTGATGATGCAAAAAAAAAAAAAAATAGATTAGAAATTAATACTGGGCGACGTTTCGGTTCACCGAGAACCATTTTTAAATGACGAAAGTAGTAAAAATTGTCAAATGTTCTAATCTTATAGAACACGGGTAACTTGATTTGATCTTAACTTCTCATCTACACCTTAAATTGACCTCACTTCTGTTTGTGAATTAAAACTAGTAGAAGGAAGACCAAAGAAAAGCCGTTCAGTATTAATTTCTAATTGCGTTCTTGCTATGAATCATTCAAAGACATTTGGTTCTGGAAGTCAGTTCGGATGTCTGATTTTTTATGAAGGCATCCAGTGAAGGAACGTCGTCGTAAGTTCCCCTATCCTATGTGCGGGTTATTTGTGTAAAGAAACCTCATAGTAGGACTAGACCTTTTCAAAGAAAGGGGTGGGGGGGGGGGGGGTTTGCCTTGGCATTGCTGGGTTCTTAATCTAAGGTATTTGAACTAGTTTTTCCTTGGATAGAACATGATTACCTGTCCGTTTGCCTGTCCCCTAGATCTAGTCGAGAGTGAGGTAGAGGGCTCTGAGGGATGGCGTATGTGCGGGGTACAATCCCCCATTTATAGGAAGCCTGCCTATAAGTGGGGTTATCACAGTATATACACACAAGTATTAGACTGATGACAACATAACGATGAAGGTAGAGATGAACATTTGTGGTTACGTAAGTTCCTACTGTACCTGAGAGGGAAGTGACGAGCGACTCTTCCTTTTGGATATATTTTATCTTCACCTCCTCATCCTCTTCCTCCTCCTCCTCCTCCTCTTCTGGGGGTGTCCCTAGGCACGTGAGACGACTGACGGGACGGGCAGACGACACCAGACGACTGGCTGAACGAGAGGCCGAGCCCAGGCGAAGACTAAGACTACTCCTGATGGAAAGGACATTGTTTTGTAGTTTAATTTCTGAAACTTCTCGTGTATCTTAATATTTGCTATATAGGCGAGTACAAATAGGAAGCTCGTCTGTCTTGCGCTCAGCAGACGGAGGATCAAGCCTCCACGTCTTGCACTGAATGACCCACAAGGGTTTAGCGTTTAACGTTAATTAAAAAAATAATCAATATTGCTATTCATCTGACCCCCCAAACACCTTCATTCCATCAAGTATCCTAATGCCTGGGCAGTCTAAGGGATCATTGTATTAAGGGATACAACACTAACACGCATACGAGTACAGCACATGTGAAGCAGTTGGGTCTTGTTTATCTACAGTCCCAGGGAGCTTCAAGGGACCCGTCAGGGAGTCAGTGGAAACAAGTAACTGTGAATTTGCTGGGTTATCCTAGGTTAGGGCTACATGATGTGATACATATGAGTTCCTGTAGCATCTGTAACCTCATGACCATGGTAAAAATAATTCGTATGTCATGTATTGATTTCCTAAATACAAACTTTGTTCTTTGTCTGACAACATACACGAATACACAAAAAATGAAACCAAGCTAAGTATTTCGTCCTTACGCTGAACTTATGCTCTGTAACATACCTGTGACTGGTTTCGGGTTTCTTCCCTCACAGCTCGGCCTGGGACCAGGCTTGGCTACTGATTGCCTTTTCAACTAGGCTATAGCTGTTGGCAGCCTACTGACCCACATATCCATCACGGACTGGTTTATCTGGTACTGGAGAGTGGTAGCGATTCAATTGTATTTTGAAAATTTTTACACTTGTGCCAGCAATATTTTTATCAGCTGGTAGAAAGCAGAATAGTCTTGGACCAGAGAAGTTGATACAGCATTCTTTTACTGTATCCTTGACTTCTCTGCTTTAAAAAATGGTTTGGCGATACCGACAAGATGTGGAAAAAGACACTTATGTACAGTTCAGGACATATACCAGAGGAAACTGTTCTCCACGTTTGGCTCTGTTTCATACTTCCTCCCACACCTCTCACTCCCACACGTTGCTACGGTAGCGTGTAGGTTTAGTACCTTCATGAATTATCATCATCAGGGATCTATCTCTTCGCCTCGAGAGAGAACATTACAAGTTATCTGAGGCGTTTCCAGTAGCTTAATTGTTTTGCTGTGTATGCGGGGAGTTATGTAGTTACGATGTATCTTCAGCAGACTGCTGGCTGACGAGAGCCAGTTATATATAATTATATATATATATATATATATATATATATATATATATATATATATATATATTATATATATATATATATAAACAAGTCGGCCGTCTCCCACCGAGGCAGGGTGACCCAAAAAGAAAATCCCCAAAAAGAAAATACTTTCATCATCATTCAAGTCTTTCACCTCACTCACACATAATCACTGTTTTTGCAGAGGTGCTCAGAATACAACAGCTTAGAAGCATATACGTATAAAGATGCACAACATATCCCTCCAAACTGCCAATATCCGGAACCCCTTCTTGAGAGTGCAGGCATTGTACTTCCCATTTCCAGGACTTAAGTCCGGCTATATAAAAATAACCGGTTTCACTGAATTCCTTCACTAAATATTACCCTGCTCACACTCCAACAGATCGTCAGGTCCTCAATACCATTAGTCTCCATTCACTCCTATCGAACACGCTCACTCACACCTGCTGGAAGTCCTAGCCCCTCGCCCACAAAACCTCCCTTACCCCTTCCTTCCAACCTTTTGGAGGAGGACCCCTACCCCGCCTTCCTTCCCCTACAGATTTAAATGCTCTCCATGTCATTCTACTTTGATCCATTCTCTCTAAATGACCAAACCACCTCAACAACCCCTCTTCTGCCCTCTGACTATTACTTTTATTAACTCCACACCTTTTCCTAATTTCCACACTCCGAATTTTCTGCATAATATTTACACCACACATTGCCCTTAGACAGGACATCTCCACTGCCTCCAACCGTCTCCTCGCTGCTGCATTTACCACCCGAGCTTCACACCCATATAAGAGTGTTGGTACTACTATACTTTCATACATTCCCTTCTTTGCCTCCATAGATAACGTTTTTTGACTCCACATATACCTCAACGCACCACTCACCGTTTTTCCCTCATCAATTCTATAATTAACCTCATCCTTCATAAATCCATCCGCCGACACGTCAACTCCCAAGTATCTGAAAACATTCACTTCTTCCATACTCCTCCTCCCCAATTTGATATCCAATTTTTCTTTATCTAAATCATTTGATACCCTCATCGCCTTACTCTTTTCTATGTTCACTTTCAACTTTCTACCTTTACACACATTCCCAAACTCATCCACTAACCTTTGAAATTTTTCTTTAGAATCTCCCATAAGCACAGTATCATCAGCAAAAAGTAACTGTGTCAATTCCCATTTTGAATTTGATTCCCCAAAATTTAATCCCACCCGTCTCCCGAACACCCTAGCATTTACTTCTTTTACAACCCCATCTATAAATATATTAAACAACCATTACACATTACACATCCCTGTCTAAGACCTACTTTTACCGGGAAGTAGTCTCCCTCTCTTCTACACACCCTAACCTGAGCCTCACTATCCTCATAAAAACTCTTTACAACATTTAATAACTTACCACCTATTCCATATACTTGCAACATCTGCCACATTGCTCCTCTATCCACTCTATCATATGCCTTTTCTAAATCCATAAATGCAATAAAAACTTCGCTACCTTTATCTAAATACTGTTCACATATATGCTTCAATGTAAACACTTGATCTACACATCCCCTACCCACTCTGAAACCTCCTTGCTCATCCGCAATCCTACATTCTGTCTTACCTCTAATTCTTTCAATTATAACCCTACCGTACACTTTTCCTGGTATACTCAGTAAACTTATTCCTCTATAATTTTTACAGTCTCTTTTGTCCTTTTTCCCTTTATATAAAGGGACTATACATGCTCTCCGCCAATCCCTAGGTACCTTCCCCTCTTTCATACATTTATTAAACAAAAGTACCAACCACTCCAACACTATATCCCCCCCTGCTTTTAACATTTCTGTCATGATCCCATCAGTTCCAGCTGCTTTACCCACTTTCATTCTACGTAATGCCTCACGTACCTCCCCCACGCTTACATTCTGCTCTTCTTCACTCCTAAAAGATGGTATACCTCCCTGACCAGTGCATGAAATTACTGCCTCTCTTTCTTCCTTAACATTTAAAAGTTCCTCAAAATATTCTCGCCATCTACCTAATACCTCCATCTCCCCATCTACTACTCCCCTACTCTGTTTTTAACTGACAAATCCATACTTTCCCTAGGCTTTCTTAACTTGTTTAACTCACTCCAAAATTTTTTCTTATTTTCATTAACATTTCTTGACAGTGCCTCTCCCACTCTATCATCTGCTCTCCTTTTGCACTCTCTCACCACTCTCTTTGCCTTTCTTTTACTCTCCATATACTCTGCTCTTATAACACTTCTGCTTTGTAAAAACCTCTCATAAGCTACCTTTTTCTTTTTTATCACACCCTTTACTTCATCATTCCACCAATCACTCTTTCCTCCTGCCCCCACCCTCCTATAACCACAAACTTCTGCCCCACATTCTAATACTGCATTTTTAAAACTATTCCAACCCTCTTCAACCCCCCCACTAATCATCTTTGCACTAGCCCACCTTTCTGCCAATAGTCGCTTATATCTCGCCCGAACTTCCTCCTTCCTTAGTTTATACACTTTCACCTCCCTCTTACTTGTTGTTGCCACCTTCCTCTTTTCCCATCTACCTCTTACTCTAACTGTAGCTACAACTAAATAATGATCCGATATATCAGTTGCCCCTCTATAAACATGTACATCCTGGAGCCTACCCATCAACCTTTTATCCACTAATACATGATCTAATAAACTACTTTCATTACGTGCTACATCATACGTTGTATATTTATTTATCCTCTTTTTCATAAAATATGTATTACTTATTACCAAATTTCTTTCTACACATAGCTCAATTAAAGGCTCCCCATTTACATTTACCCCTGGCACCCCAAATTTACCTACTACTCCCTCCATAACATTTTTACCCACTTTAGCATTGAAATCCCCAACCACCATTACTCTCACACTTGATTCAAAACTCCCCACGCATTCACTCAACATTTCCCAAAATCTCTCTCTCTCCTCTACACTTCTCTTTTCTCCAAGTGTATACACGCTTATTATAACCCACTTTTCACATCCAATCTTTATTTTACTCCACATAATCCTTGAATTAATACATTTATAGTCCCTCTTTTCCTGCCATAGCTTATCCTTCAACATTATTGCTACTCCTTCTTTAGCTCTAACTCTGTTTGAAGCCCCTTACCTAATCCCATTTATTCCTCTCCATTGAAACTCTCCCACCCCCTTCAGCTTTGTTTCACTTAAAGCCAGGACATCCAGTTTCTTCTCATTCATAACATCCACAATCATCTCTTTCTTATCATTTGCACAACATCCACGCACATTCAGACTTCCCACTTTCACAATTTTCTTCTTCTTATTCTTTTTAGTAATCTTTAAAGGAAAAGGGGTTACTAGCCCATTGTTCCCGGCATTTTAGTTGACTTTTACAACACGCATGGCTTACGGAGGAAAGATTCTTATTCCACTTCCCCATGGATATAAAAGGAAAAATAATAAGACCAACAACTATTAAGATAAAATCAAAGAAAACTCAGATGAGTGTGTATAAATAAATGTGTACATGTATGTGTAGTGTGACCTAAGTGTAAGTAGAAGTATCAAGACATACCTGTAATCTAGCATATTTATGAGACAGACAAAAGACATCAGCAATCCTACCATGATGTAAAACAATTACAGGCTTTCGTTTTACGCTCACTTGGCAGGACGGTAGTACCTCCCTGGGTGGTTGCTGTCTACCAACCTACTACCTACCAATATATATATATATATATATATATAATATATATA